ATCATGGGACGAGTAATGTGGGGGACTCGCTATGCGAATTTCGTGGTGTTAGCACGGCTGTAGGAGTCAGGGAGGGTATGCATCTAGTTAAAGATGGCGCACCGATCGTTAAATTGGGGAAGGACTTTGTGGTGAAAACGGCTTCAATTTGTTTTTGTAATCAGTGGATTATTTATTTTTGGTACGATCACTGTATAATCCAATGATATTCTGCACGGTTTATCCGCAAGTTAACCATAGTGTCACTTTAATCAATAATTTTCGTATATTTTGGATAGTATAGTGCTGTTACATAAATATCTGTCCAAGCTTATCTTTGAAGTCCTAGCCCAGACAGAAACTTCTGCCTCGATTGTCAGTAAATAAAGATGGCGCACCGATCGTTAAATCTATTTTCAGTTTCAAGTTATTTCAGAGGAGAGACCTTTCAAATAGAAGTCCATTACACGAGCTCTGGAAAATAATTAGCGGCGAGTAGTTTCATATGTTAAAATAAAGACACATTTTTCAGTGGAGAGGAAAAGGAGAGTGAAAGCGATCGATGATTCACTTACTCCATGATGTACTAGTGTATCCACCAAAAATGTATTTCCCACACGGATAATGGTCACTGTCGACCCTTTGCTATCACACAGTGAAGGTAGTGCTAGCCCAATCATCCACTGATGCTCACCAACAGTGCTTCCAGTGAGAGGACTTGCTTCGTTCAACTGACCTAAGCCAGTTGCTCAGGGTTTCCAGGGTTTCTAATGTGAATGTCATTACATTAGTTCCCAGGCTACGAATGACTTCTGAGGGCTTGTTGGTAAATTTAGGTCGCTCTGAGGGGAAAGAAAACTGTCAAGTATGATACACTAAAGTCCCTAAAGAAGGACAAGGTGTCTTAGATCTAAGGTAATCATAGGCAGAAACTCTAGATCTTAGAAGGCTTGTCATTGTTCATTACGCTTTTTGTAACGGCATGTTCGGGGCTTTTATTAATGAAATAAACCGGTTGAGCATGTTCATATCTCAAATCGTTTGACTCTTACACACCAAGCGCTCTTAATTGTTAACCTTGTTTTGAACAAATAAAACGAACAAAAACATTAAGAGAAAATTAATGGTGAAGGAGTTAACCCTTTCACTCCAAGAAGTGAGCAGCATGTAACTTCTCCATATGATATCCATACATTATCTAGAAAACAGGTAATGAGAATACTCAAGCTTATCAGGCAGAAGCTGTTATCTTGATCTAACACCCAACTCTCATAAATGTTGTAGAGTATTTGAAAGGATTGCTATTCTGAGTATTTTTAGGTTTACCTTTCGTTTTGATGAGTCTCGCCTTTTTGCGTGTACGTTGTTATTTTGGTAGATCTTCTCTGTTTCTTATTTGTAAATCAGAGGATCATTGTCAGTTTAGTACAATCACTTTACAGTTTTGGTCACGGAATATCGTATAGAGGATATTACATGGCCACTTGGGGATACAAAATTTTTACTTCTCGTGTTGAAAAACATTTCGAATTTATCATATGACCCATGTTGTCCTCAAGTCGCTTTGTTACAAAAACTTTAAGGAAAAAAACTTCAAGGAGAACAGAAATGAGAAAAAAAAGTCGCATTTTCCAAGGAGTTGGGAAGGCTAATAATGACAGAACAGCGGTTTGTAGTTCGCCAGGTCGTTGTCTCCCTAGTCATAAGTCTTGAGTTAAATTCTATCTATCTAGATCCACTGAAATTAGAATATAGAAATGGATAAGTTTATAGGGATTTATTGTCGCGAGAAACGTTTCGACTCTGAACCTGGTTCCTCCTGAGGTCAGAACACGAAGCAAGACTGCCGCCATTACTTCGATGCCTGCAAGAGAGAAGCTGTTGATGACGGTTCATCTCAGGATTCTCTGAAAACTCTTACTTTATTTGCCTAGGATTACTGAAATAATGAAATAGACCTCTTCAATTATTGTCCTGTGTCTTCCAGTACAAAATTTGAACACGATTAGAAACTTCTCGAAACTGTGTCTGGCAGCTGTAAAATCGTTGTATGTTTCACATCCGTGGGTGTATGAGTTCAACTAATGGTTGTCGTTTCTCACTCATAATCAGTGTAGTTTTCGGTTTAGGTACGTTTGCACCCTTCCCAACTTTACTTATTTTCTTGCAAGCTTGAGAAATCGTGTAACCATACCATTAAAATTATCCGCAGAGTTAGTTTTTGATTAACGGAAATCAAATACAGAAATGGCTCAAAATAAGAAGATTCTACCTTTAACTCTCAATCTGCTCATGATTCTTAACATTCCCAGACCAAAGTGAGCTGTACATATGTACGATCCAACATGTGACCTTTGCACGCAATTGATTCAAAGAGCACCATCTTCCACAGTAAAACCAGATAGAGTACCTCCAAGGTTACGCCATGTTATCTTGGAGGATAGATGGCCTTGAATTCAACAGTAAAATGTTGCTGGCTCGTTCACAAAGACTTGCAGAGATACTGGATAAACACTGATCTTCGGTGGAACAACACATTCTCCTTTTGGTCCCTTAATATCAATCAATCCTCTGCTGCCTTTGTTTCCTTTAAAGCCAATAGACCCTTTTTGTCTTTGATGAGCTTTCGATCCAGTCTCTCCTTAATGCCGGTTGCTCCAACAGACCCTTTATCACCTTTGTCGCCTTTTACTCCCGTAGGTCTCATAGCTCCTTTTTCGCCGCTCGTGCCTGGAGCCCCGATAGGACCCAGAGAGCCTTGTAGGCCGGTTTTCTCTGAGGCTACTTTTTCTCCTTTGTAGCCTGGATACCCGCGGGCACCTGGAGGACCTGGAGGTCCTGTCTGGCAAATCGTGTTGCTAACAATGCAGGACTGAGTGAATTTGCTGTTGATTTCCTGGCGGACTTGCTACAGAGTTATTGTTTCTTTAGCAAGATTTCTTCTCTCTCTTTGAGGATTCTGATTACTGATGACACGCTTACTTCTTTTCTTTAAAACCTATTAAAACTATGCAAAAAAACTTAATAAATGAAAAACCGCATTTTAAAATGTGCAAGAATAAGCTGAATTGTTGTAGTCCTTTAGCAACTGTTGTTTGCGGTTAAGAGGAAGAACTGAGAAAATAAAGACAAGAGGGAAATACAAAATGATGTGATTTACATTCATATGAGATCACGACACCGATGCTAAAAGGGATAACTCAATGTTAAATCGAGTCAGAGTTAAGGGACCAAACAAATCAATAAGAACAACAACAACCAAAGCAACAACAGAAAAAGGGGAACTTTCGCCTTCACGAATTTTATTGAAACATGCTCTGTTCCTACACTTAGACGAACATTTGCTCGCTGCATGCCTGCACAGCTCCGAACACGACAACTACAGCGACTCCGCGAACAACTTACACGCATAAGCTAACACATTCGACACTCCTTCAACATACCTGCAACCTCGTGGTCATTGTACACTGAGAGAGCGATAAAAATCACCAGCCAAGCGGCAGGAATTACCGCCAAACACACTTTCCGAGAGATCCGCAATCTCTTTGCTCGTATAATGCATCGCATCGCTGATCGCTCTCCTGACAGCTACAAACACCGTATGGCTTTCAAAATTCTCGTCGAGATTTCCAACAGCGTAGATACAATCTTTCATTGATACCTTCACAAATAAGGAACACGAATATTCTTACAGTAGCATCGTGATCATATTGTAAGCTCNAAAGAAGAATACCCATGGGTATTCTGGGTACCCAGTTATCTCTGGCACGTGATGCGGCCTCGCCTCCGTCAGCAAAGATCGATTTTGCGCAGCGAGTGGGCGTCATTGGTATCAGTATCACATGAACAGGTCACATGTCCTAAAGACGACCACTGTTAACCGGTTATCGAGTACAGAGGCCATGACGTTTTTTATTAGTATTATTTCGTGTAGTGCCTGAAAAAAAACAAAACAAAACAAAACGAAACAAAACAAAAACAAAATATGAAAACAAAGCAAATAAAAACAGGACCGAAACAAAAAACGCGTCTCTGTCATCATATTCTGTGCTACCCAACGGCTTCTTAACGAGCATCGTTTGTTCCTCTTGAATATTTGTGCAGCTAGACCAGAGGGCAAAGAAAAACTTTTGCCAGGAGGTAATTGCAAATGTTGATGAAAAGACAAAAACGATTAGCTATTAACATTGCCTTTATTCTCCTTCTTCTTATGTTTCCATTGTTAGTGCCTGCTGCAGCAAATCCTGCTGTGTTAAAAATTATGGCCTGTAAACTGAAAAGCTAGCCTTATTCAGGCCATTATGAATCCTTTGAGAGAAATGTTGCCACTTGGACACCTGAGCTTCAAAGTTTCTACCTCGTGTGCAAAAAATGCAGCAGTAGAGCCGAAAGGCGTTTCCCTGGCAAAGTGGTTGTTCCCATGGGAAACAGACGAACTGAACAGACACCGAGCTATCTCCAGTGTAGGCGTTCGTTGAGTGTTCACTGGAGGGGGCCAGGGATCGGACATTAGAATATTTTAGTTGTGTGACGTTAAAATTTTCTGATCCTTTATAAGGCTCTTTGGTTTTTTTGTGTTGACCCCTCATTAGCAGTTAATTAGAAGTCAGTTTTCTATACTCCTTCCCTTATAAGAACTGATCCCCTCCGTTACCCCCTGAAAACAATGAATTCCAAAATCCTTCCCCCTCTCCCCAGGCGAAAATTAAGATAATGGTGCCTAACGTTTGGAATGCCATGTGGCTGTTGGCCTTTGTGAAAGGGGAAAATGTTATGAAAATGTGATAAAGGATAAAAAATCCATTCAAATAATTGAAAACTGTTCCCCCTAACAAGTCTTCCTTTTGGCAAGTGTAGAACTCGGCACGCGTCAAATTAGTGACCAAGGATTCAAAGATATTAATCGATCGCCACGCCCTTGTCATTGAAAATAATCCCAATGTTTTATCTTTTTTTCCATCGTAAGGGTCATGCTTTCTTGCCCTG